ACATATTGGAAAAACAGGGTATAAGGATCAAAAGGAACCAAGGGAAGGAATGGAGTTATAGGTCCAAAAGCCAGAATATGAGTGCTAGGTTGACATCAGGTCAGAATGAAGGTAGATACGGAGTTGGCATGAAAAATGAGTGCCAGGGTGATTGCAAAAAACCAAACCAAACCAAACCAAACCAGCTTCTCCTCCCCCGAAAGCCCCCAAACAAAACTCACAAATGATCAATACCAGCTTGGTCTTTATGTAATTGGGTGTGTGATTCACATATGGCTCAGACCAAAGGTCAAGGAACACCTCATTATGGAATTCATTTTGATGGATTCTTAGCTGGTTAAACAGACACACTTAGTGTAAAGATGAATTAATTAGTTAAGGAATGAATGTCAGCCTAGATAATGTCTCTAGTTGAGTGTCTCAACCTGTCATGTTAAATATTTTTTATCAATGACTTAAAGGAATGCATGAAAAACATACATATGAGACCTGCAGGTGAAAAAATATGGGAAGAACAGTTGATGGCAGATTCAAGGTTTTAAGAGCAGAAGATTCAAAGAGACCCAAGGATCTAGGTCATTGAGTCAAAGATAATAACAATGGGGCTTTTAAGAAGGATGATTGTTGAGTTGATAACTTTTAAAAATAAAAGTAAATACATTCTCCACATTAAAAAGAGTAAAAAGAAACAGATGAAATTAATTTTAGTGATTATTTATTTTATTTATTTTTATTTTTTATTATGTTCAATTAGCCAACATATAGTACATCAATAGTTTTTGATAGTGATATATTTAACCAATAAATCCAATATATTATCATTTCAACACAAAATAAATGTAAAATCATTAATGAGATATTTTGCATTTTTCCTGTTAAGTCTTTACACTAATGTGTGTATTTTACTTGTAGCATATTTTATTTTATTTTTTAGCACATTTCATTTTAGACTGGCCATAGTTCAAGTACATGAGAGCCACACAAGCTGTCGGCTACCATATTGGACAGCATGGGTCTAAAAGGATACTGGTCAAAAACTAATAAGGAGCAGCTACTCCAGTTGTAAGAACATTTAGTTACTAAACTGTAGAAGTCTGATATGATTGAATGCTTGTGGCTTGTCAACTCGAAGCGTGATATGGCCATAAACACTGATCTTTGCATGGGCTGAAATTGTCAGTTGAGTTGGAACTGGGAACACTTGCCTATCCCAATAAATCTAGGCTGAGTGGCACAGAAAAGGCATAGCATAACTTTTTATTGAGAAATAAGCGAACTAACTCCCTTGATATAAGACTCTTGACCTAGACTAGGAAAACAATCTGGAGTTTACCATGAGATCTAATCAGATCAATAATTAAAACTTAGATTTCAGGGACACCTAGGTATATGTGATTCCAATTTCCTGAGGCTCTGTCGAATTTTCTCTGTATGCTCTTCCTTTTAGCTGTTTGTAAAAGCTCCATAAGTCTGTGTTGATTTAGTGTGTGCTAAATGTGTGACTAAGAGTTAAAAGTGGAAGGCTGGGACTCAGGAAGGACAGGAAGTGGGATGAGGGTTCTCAGACTATGTGGGCAGACTTGGGGAAAAGTGAGACCCTAACTCAGAGCTGGAGGGTGTGGGATAGGAAGCAGCTGGAAACTTTCTGAACAACAAAAGAGGTGATTGAATGAGGGAGCAAGTGTAGGGCTAATCATAAAGCAGCCTCTGGTTCCATTGTGGCCTGTGTTGAGGGTCTTCAGTCCTCAAATACTCCCCCATTTGTGGATGGCATGGCACCCGAAACTCCTTTGGATTATGTCTCCAGTGTCTTCTACTAACATACAGATATTCTTGAGGAAGTGACACATGCAGTGGTGAACATTATTTATAGATTGCAAACATGCTTTTAGATTCAGTTGTTCTCCACAAAAGGGAGGGACTCTAGAATAACTCTGGATCAGAGGGAAAGATCAATTAAAAGAGGAAAGACACATAAGACACATAAGACACATTGTGGGTAAGGAGGTTATTAGTGCCAAAGAAACATCTTACAAGTTTTCTGGTCTGTCCTCTTCCTCCAAACAACTCCGGTCCCTCTAGGTTACTGATGTGTTTGGTATAAATGTTTCTCTGACTTCCTTTCTCTGTATGCACACCCCAGCAAACACATTCACAAACAGTGGCTTTCTCTGTAGACTCAGACTCAATATTGCCATGCAACTTCCATTATTCACTTAATATGGACTATAGACACGTCTCCAGGTTACTGTTTATAGTTTAACTCATTTTAATTAAGTGTAGAATAGTATAAAGAATGGAAGTATAATTTATTGAGTCGTTCTCCTATTAATGCACATTCAAGCTATTTTTAGGTGTGGGCCACTCTCTCTCCCATCTTACAAATGATGGTGTCCCCAATCTTTTTCCAGAATGTAAAAGGTATTACATAGTAGGTCCCTCTACTATTAGAACATTACAGATTCTGATCTTATTTACAAAACCTCTGAACTTTATAATGGCTTCCTAAAATTGGAGGTTCTACTAGCACTCCAAATGAGAACAAGAAGCTGATGATTGGAGGATCTAGGGCAGTGTTTGTTTCTTGCTTTTTAAGATAGCTTTATTGAGTGGTGCCTGGGTGCTCGGTGGGTGAAGCGTCTGGTTCTTGATTTCAGCTCAGGTCATGATCTCAGGGCCCTGGGATCAAACCCAGCCTCAAGCTTCGTGCTGGGCGTGGAGCCTGCTTAAGAGTCTCCCTCTGCCCCTCCCCCTGCTGGTGCACACACACACACACACACACACACACACACTCTCTCTCTCTCTCAAAACATAAACAAAATAGCTTGGTTGAATGACATGTAATAAATTAAACATATTTAGACACACAACTTGATAATATGGAAATCATCACCATAATCGAGATAATGAATACATTCATCATCCTCAAAGCTTCCTGGGCGCCTGTGTGGCTGATCCCTCTGGGTCCTTCCACTCTCTCTGCTCTGCTCACCTGCAGTTACTGATATGCTTTCTGTCATGATAGTTAACATTTCCTACAGTTTTATGACAATGGGATCGTACAGTAGGTACTCCTTTTTGTCTGGCTTCTTTGACCCAGCATAATTATTTTGAGATTCTTCATTGCTGAGTAGCCTCTCATGGTGTGGGTATGCCCAGTTTGTTCACCAGTTCACCTGGTGATACATATTTGGGTTGTTTCCAGTTTGGGGGCCTCCACAAACAAAGCTGCTATGAACACTCACATAAGAGTCTTTGTATGGACATAGGCTTTTATTTCTCTCTCACAAATACAAAAAAAAAAAAAAAAAAGGGAATGGCTGGATCATATGGTAGGACTACGCCTCACTTTTTAAGAAATGGTTCTTTGTTTCCAAAATGGCTGTCCATCTCAAAAATATTCATCATCTTCTACAAAGTCATGGTCTGAGGATCCCTGAAATAATGTCTGTGAAAGATCTGGTGGTTCTTAAAATTGAGATAGATCCGTAATTCTATCAGTTGAGAAATAGTTATTGATTGCCTGATGTTTCCAGGTATTGTGCATGATGTTGAGTTACTAGCATGGATGAGGGGGAGATCCCTCCCTGGCCCAGGCCAGAACATACCTGGCTATTAGAAGAGGTAGAAAGTCAGACTCCCCAAAGTGCTAACAGCAGGGATAGCACTGAGAAAATTGAGATTCTGATGATTGGAGGGAGACTTTCCAGGGCCAATCATTCAGACACACTTGCAGGGTTATAGGTTAAGAAAGTGAGAGTGAAGAGGGCCTATTTGAGGAATCGCAACTTTAGCTTATTTCATTTATTCATTACACACACACACACACACATATTTTAATACCCACTATGTCCTTCAGATATATCGATGAACAAAATAAAAATCCCTGCCTTCATGGAGTTTACATTCCGCTTGGAGAAATACAATAAACTATATAAACCTAGTAAATAGGTAAACGATCTCTTAAACAATGGTAGGTACTATGGAAGAAACAGAGCAGGGGAGGTGTGGTTAGAAGTGGGGCAGCCAGTTCTAATTTCAAGTGGGAGATAGTCAGTGGGGTATGTTTAAAATCTAAATATAATAGTAGTATGTATATGTTATAATACAACTTCTAAAATTATTCCAACGTAATTAGAATCTGGTCTGCAAACCACTCTGAAACCTTCGATTCTTTAGCTGCTGTACTGACACTCTGCAGCCACTAGGGTGCAAATGGGCCATTTCTGAGAAAAAATGGGATGAGGGTGGGGGTGTGAGAGAGAGGTGGGTAATTAGGTACACACCCTCCCCCAGGTGTTCCGCAGGGGCAGCTCCACTAAGGGCACTGGCAAGACAGGCGGGCGAGTGTTACTGTGTGTCTTGGACCAAGACAGTTTTGCCCTTGGCTTCCCTTCCTTAGCAGGTCCTCACCCAGCAGGGGTTGGGGGCCGAGCTGAGAAATGAACTTCAGCACACGATGCATGTCAGCTGAGTGACGGTGGAAAGAGGCAGACCTGCCGGCCTTGTCTTCCGGCCCTGCAGCGAGATTTTGGGGCGCTGCGCGTGGGTTTCCTGCGGTTACACTCAGCGCTCCGGGTCTGTACAAAAGCCACCCCCCGCAAGATGCTTTTCCGTTCCCTTGTAATATTTAAGGCATCCCCAAGATGCAAGCATTCACCTTGACGTTCGGGTTTCTGGATCCTTCACACCCTCAGCCTCTGCGAGCAGATCGGTGACCATTCTTATCTTTTGGACGAGAGCCCATCCTGTCGCCCTTTCTGGAGCTGAGCGCTGTCCGCCTTTTGCCGGGGCAGGAGCTCCGCGAGGCCGGGCGAGCGACGTGCCGGCGGGGCAGGGGCGCGCACGCGTGGGGCGCCGCTGGTTGCGCATCTGGCGCCAGAGCGCGCCCCCCGCGCAGTGCCCGCCACGGCCGCGGCGGAGGGTTGGTGCTCCGGAGCGTGCGGGGCGCTCTCTCCCCGCGCGGGGGCACCAGAGCCCTCGGAAGTGTCAGGCACTGCGGTGCATTTTCCCAGTTCCCTTTTAAATGACTGCGGAAAAACAGACTCTCGGAGCCGCAAATGGGGAAGACGGATTCTCAGACAAGGCTTGCGGATGCCCCGCAGCCATCATTTAACTGCGCCCGCAGAGCAGTTACGGTTTGTCACCCGAGCCTCCAGGATCGCCTCGTTTGTCCCTAGTGAGACCCCGAGGCTCTGCACGCGCCGGGCTTGTCGGTAGCTGGATGCTTGTCTTGCTCTGGGCAGCGCGGGCGCAGGGCACGCGTTCGCGCACACCCGCGCACACACGAAATCGCGCAAGGTACGGCAGGGGAGCAAGGGCTCGGGGTGCCCCGCGGGGGCGGGGGTGGGCATCGCGGGGAGTGAAGCGACGATCTGGGAACGGCCGAACCCTGCCAGGCTGAAGGATGACAGAAAATGACGCGGCGCCACACATCGGACAGGCCGGGGTTGCGGCCGCGCATTTCGGGAACCCAATACGCGTCAGGCGCGCTCCCTTCCCCTCACATGTCTCTATTTCCCGGGCGTGTGATGTCGGAACACGGCAGGAAAAAGACCCACTTAGAGAGCTAGAGTTGCATTTGGAGACTCCCCTCCCTCTGCAAAAGCACCCACAGGAGACCCTCCCAAACCACGGATCCCCAAATAGCTGTCCCGGAGTGGGGGCGGTTATCCTTGGTTACCAATGCTGAACACGTTTTGGTGTTTACAATATTTATTTATTTTTAGGCTAGCTCGCCCTCCCTTTTAGGCAGGATGGGAAAAGGAGAACGCAGCGGGGAGGGAGTGGGGAGGGAGGATTCCTATAATAAGAATCAGCGCATTTTTCAGAGCTGAACCGAGCCCGGTTTCCATTTCAAAAAAGGAGACAGCCTCTACTGCGACGATAGAAGAGACAGCGGTGTGAAGTAGGGACTGAGAGGCGTCGAGCGGTGGAACGGTCCATCTCGGAGGTACCTGGATCTCAGCGCACATACGCGCGCGCGCACACACACACGCACACACACACACACACACACACACACAGGCGCGCGCGTCTACCCAGCCAGGATGTGTGCGTGTGTGCGCGTGTATGAACTCCCACATGCTGCCGCTGTCTGCTCCTGGCCAGTGGCACCGATGCCTCCCTCCTCCCCGCTCGCCCCCAGATTCCCCTCCCCTCCCTGTTGCTTTTGTCTGGAGGGTGTTATGGGTTTGTGTGTGCATGAGCGTGTGTGTTTTTGGATTTCAGACTAATTTTCTGGAGTTTCTGCCCCTGCTCTGCGTCAGCCCTCACGTCACTTCGCCAGCAGTAGCAGAGGCGGCGGCGGCGGCGGCGGCGGCTCCCGGAATTGGGTTGGAGCAGGAGCCTCGCTCGCTCCTTCGCTCGCGCTCTCCGCGCTCAGTGCCCGGCGGCAGGAGGAGCCTGCACCCAGGCGCCGCGGGCGGGCGGTAGGCGCCGGAGCCCGGGTGAGCAGCGCGGACAGTGCCCTCCGGCGTCTCGGCCCTCGCTGTCACCCCCACCCCCCGGGACGGCCGTGGCGGCTCCCCAGGTGGGACGCGCCGCGCCACCTGCCCGCGCCCCCTGCGCCCAGCGGCCGTGGCGGATTCTGCAGCATCATTGGGGGCCCCCGTCGCGGAGCCATCTCCGCCGCCGGCAGTCTCCGCGTCCCCCTTTAAAGGGTCCTTCGCCCGGCCTGTGCCATGGAATCCTGTCTCGGGGACCCTTGCCCTGTCTCCCCTCCCTCGACCTCAGAGAGAGGGGGGCACATCGGCGGCCTCGGCGGCGTCAGTGCCATCGAGGGGCAAGTTTATTTCTGGGGCCGGAGCTGGGCACGCATCCATCCACAGTCGCCTGGCTGGGGTCGGGGTGGGGGTGCCGCGAGCGCGCTGTATGGGGTCCTGCGCTCAGTCTCACGCGTGTCTGTTTGTCCTCAGCCCCGAGGTGCGTCCCGGATCCCAGTGCGCGTCTAGCAAGGAGCCTGCGTCCCGGGGAGTGCCGGCAGCGCCGCGGGCCGGTGCTCGGCGCGCCGGGCCATGCAGCGGCGGCCGCGGCGGAGCTCCGAGCGGCGGTAGCGCCCCCTGTGAGGCGGCCCGAGATGCCCCGGCCACTGTGAACGGTGCCGCCCGCCAGGACACGCTCAGCCCCGGACACGCTCGGCTCTGCGCGCCCGCGACAGGCACCGGGGCGAGGGAGCGGCGAGCGCGGCACAGGCCGCCCAAGCAGGGGCAGGGGAGGCCGGCCGGTGCAGCGCGCCGACACGTACTCAGTCCGACTCGGGCTGGCACTGGCGGCTAGGGATGTCGTCCTGGACGAGGTGGCATGGACCCGCCATGGCGCGGCTCTGGGGCTTCTGCTGGCTGGCTGTGGGCTTCTGGAGGGCCGCTCTCGCCTGTCCCACGTCCTGCAAATGCAGCGCCTCTCGGATCTGGTGCAGCGACCCTTCTCCGGGCATCGTGGCGTTTCCGAGGTTGGAGCCTAACAGTGCAGACCCTGAGAACATCACCGAAATGTGAGTTCCTGGTGCTCTTCCTCCTTCCTTCTCTCCTCATCCCCTCGGGCTGGGGCTGGCCAGGCGTGTCTGTCCGGGGCATGAATGTTGTCTCAGGTCTGGGGAGAAGTCCGACGTACATGGGAGATGCAGGGCTGGGCCATCTGTCAGTTACCTGTTTCTCTGGCTTGGGGCTGCTAACGTGGGGGAGAGGTGGACAGTTGGACATAAGTTTTAAGTATACTGTATGTGTCAGTAACATAAATACATATGTTCTTTGCGGGGAGGGATTCTGTATACACTCTGTATTTCCAAGCCCTGCTGGGTGTGCTTTAGGCTTTCCTTATGCAATAACTTAGTTTTGGACATTTTTCTTTCCTAAGGTGCTAAGTGTATGTTGGGTTAGAAGTTCCAGTAATATTTACTAGAAAGGAGGTTAAAATAATGAACTTTTGGAAATCTGTTGAAGGAGGTTAGAGTCGCCCCCTTAAACATCATTCGCTGAGGTTTGGAGTTCACCGGTTTCCCTTTTCATTTTATAGATCAGATTTTTGTTTGGAGATGGCATCCAGAGCTGGCCTGGAAAATGGTCTGTAAGAGGAGAAGTTCTGAGTGTTGAAATGTGCTCTCTTGGAAGAGAAAATGTGCTTGTCGGAAGCCTAAAAGCCTGGTCTGATTTAATTTGGACTTGACTTCCCAGAGATATAATTTTGAGACCATTTGGACTATAAATCTCAATTGCTGATTGAATACTATCCCAGGACTAGGTTGGATGATAAAGCAGGGTGTAGAATGCTGCCGTTTAGCATGGGACGGACCCCTGTGTCCCTGGAAATGTCTGAGCTTGTCTTGCTCTGAGGGAGAAGCAGAGTTGTGTATTTCTGTCCTCCCATTCTGACGGCTTGTGACAAATACATTACCAAGTAGGAACTCACCAGTGCCATCCCCAGTATTCCCTGTCACCTCTCCTAGAGGTGTCTCCCCCCCCCGCCCCAAGGGACTTGGTCATTGCCTACATTTCACTGGCATGAGATTTTATTCATCCATGCAGAGGATTGTCAGGCAAAGTTTCTCCCGGTTTTCCATATGGTGTTCAATGCTCAGATAGGCAGCCCTGAAAGTAGGGCTTAGACTGTGGCCTTCCGGTTGGCGAGTGCGCATGCTTTTTTTCCTCCCCAGAAAACGCACACCCTGTTTCTGCCAACGTAGTTGACTGAGATAACCTGTCTTTAATGTAAGTAAGAGACCTTCCTAGCCTCTGTTGTTTATTCTGCTGGTGATGCTCATGGTCTAAGGCTCGGGCAGAAGGAAATGGCAGTAGCATAGAGGGGAATGTGCAGGCCTAGCAGAGCTGAGATGTGCTGGGAGGAGCCAACTGTCAGGCTGGATCCAGGAGGCTGGGATCTGGGTGGGTTTTGTTTTTGTTTTTGTTTTGGAAGGATCCAGCTTTGGAGGAAGGGTGGGCAGGGCCCCAACTGTACTAGCCCTGGCTGGCCTGGTCAAAGTGTCTGTGGCCTTCTCTCAGGATCTGTGTCTTTTTCATGAGATGGGAGGTCAGTAGTCAGATGGAGGAAGCCATATGGAATTCAGAGCCTTTTGGACTATTTTGAGACCGGGGAGAGTGCCTTTATACAGTCAGACGTCTTGTTTTGTTGGTGGTGGTTTTGAAATTCTGTATTAGATGATGCATCTATAATGAGGGAGGAAAGGGGATCGAGCCAATCATTTTCACTGTAACATTTTTTTTTTCACTGTAATATTTTTAGGCCCTAATGGGGGAAAAGGAAAATAAAACTCTCTTTAAGTGTAAAAAAAACACTGTTTTAAACCTTAGTGGTCTTAGCTGCCTGGTATTGATGAAATCAATAGATTGGAGCTGAGCTTTCTTATATCAGTTCTCACAATTGCTGTGGTTTCTGTAATATCTGATGGCAGGTTCCTATCTCCAGACTTTAAAAAACTGATGCTTTTTTATTTTTACCCAAGTGTTTGTTGTCAGCGGCACTCCTCATTTCTTCTGTTATTTTTTTTTTCTTTTGATTTGAAAATCCACTAAGATTGAGAGCGTGGGGAGGTGTGTAGGGTTAGTGTTTGGGATGGGGAATTACGTTCCTTAGTGATTCTGATGGGGCTGGTAAATGTGAGTTCTGAGAAAAAGTCTGTGCTCAGCTCTGCCCCTCAGCTTTGTTTGAGCCCAGCCGGTTTGTGCCCTGGTGTCCTGTAAAATGTACCAAAATCCTTATTTGGGAAGCACTTCATATAATTATTTTGAATTCTGTTGTTTTGATATCAAAATGACATCAGGGGATGAGCTTGTTTCCCTGTCATCCATATATGACACCATCTGGCTCTTTTTCTTACATATTAATATTTGTTTGAACAGCTTTTACGTTCTTGGCCAATGGATACCAGCTACAGTTGGAACCAAATTACAATTTTTTTTTTTTTTAACTTTGTTATGAGACCCAGTGGTAGTCCTAAAATAACCTGGTTGAAAGTTCCAGTTTAATGGTGCTTAGCTGAAATTCATGTTTCTATTTTTTCAATAGGAAAAATGGAAGTAAATAAACTATAATTGGAATTTGCTGAAGCAACAGTTTACTCTATCATTTAAAAATGGTACATCACTTAATATCTATATATTTGGGGAAAAGTACACCATGGTGCTTTTTGGGTTCAGAGAGAGCCCATGGTAGAACATTCTAAAACTATGTGCATAGACTCATTAAGAGAGAGAGTTTTATTTTTTGCTTCTATGTGCATATTTTAAGCCAAGTTGACATTTCATTTTTAGAGTCATCGTTTGAGCCTGTTTTATCAAAAATTCTGTCATCGTAATCTGTCTCATACTCTTTACCCACCAACATGATCTATTTACCTACATCTCTCTTCTCTGTCTATAGAGATGCATCACACCTGCCCAACATCACACCGCTGCTTAGCATCAGCTTCTGTTACTCTGACGTAGTTATACCAAAGCCATGCTAAATTAAATTTAAAAATGATACCACTGTCACATATAAGTGGGATTCAAGAGTCAAGCCTGTTGTTGGAGTTATGTAACTGGCTATTGAATCTCTGTAGTATCAGGTGCCAAAATGTACTGCAAAGGACAAGTTCTGTCTCACTCGAGTGGTAAAAGGCGTGGTTAAAATAGATCACACGTTTCTTTTTTATTGTGGTCAAAAACACCTAACATAAAATTTACCATCTTAACCATCTTTAAGTGTATCATTTAGTAGCATGAAGTGTTAAGTGTATTTACGTGGTGGTGAAAGGGGGCATTCACTTTTATATCGCTCTTATTTTATAGAGATCAGTGATGGCCTTTTTTTCCTGAATTTCTTGGGTGGTAGTTTCTGATTTGGGGGGGCATATTTGGAGACAAGTGTGATATTTTTCCTCTTAGTACAACATAAATAGAATTTGCAGCTTCTGCTGCCAGAGCCTCTATGTGCAATAAATTGTTGGCTTGGTTTAAGTGACTGTAATGTGATGTCATTAATACATTGATTTTGGCCCCCTCACCTTAGTGAGCTTTTCCACTGCAATTAATTGTACTAAAAACAAATATCCTGGCATTCGGAAGGATTTGGTGAGAGGCATCCGTTTTTATTACTCTGATGTTTACTTCTCAGGCCCTACACTGGGGGTTCTAGAACTTTGGATTGTGCTTTACATGCATTTAAGATACACAGAGTAAGTTTTGAGTGTGGTTACATAAGCCACACTGGACTTGTTAATAAATAAGGCAGTCTAATTTGCATCATTAACACAACTTGCAAGCTGGGGTTGAAAACACGCTGTCTTCCCAGTGGAGGTATTTACAGAATTCAGCTCAGTACAACCATTTGAAGCCTCCTTGGTCTTATATCTTCAATCTCTGCATTAAGGAGGTTTTTATTACGTTGGGTAAAACAAAAAACCCCTCGACCCTTCTGACCCGACTTTCTTCCCCTCTCCCTCCCATTACCTCTCATTGACTGTACAGGAAAATGTGTTTGAGTTTTTTTCTTCTTCTCCGAAAAGTGATATTTCCTTATGGGAATTCAGAGCACTAGAGTTAGGGGAAGGGCCTGGGTTATGTGTTATTACAAGCAAGTAATGGGAAGTTGAGATAATGTGGTCACAGTTCCCCAGAGCTGAGTTTAGTTCTGTTTAAAATCTTTCACTGTTTCTATCCCATAAACCTCTGTTTGTATCTGTTTCAATATTCCCTTGTAAAGACGTTTTCTAAGCTGAAAAGTTGGCCGGACAGCTATGAATTGAGGTCTCTTTCTCCCCAGGAACATTCTGTATGATCTCTTTGACTATATCTGGGTCGTCAGAGTATAAAACCTAGAGTTCTTGTTTAGTTGTGGAAGGGGAATTTCTTTCTTTCTTTTCTCTTTTCCTTTTTTTGTTTTTCTGTTTCTGTTTTTGTTTGGCCTTTGGTACTAAGCAAGGGCCCTCAGTGTTAACTCATTGCTCATCTTAGCTGTTAGCGAAAAAACCACTATTAAACCAGGACCGAATACCACACGTTGACGTTAGCCCTCAGACTAGCTTACCAAGTCTCTAGAGAGATTCTCGTAGCTTCAAAAACCATAGGGTAGAAGGTGGCCTTGAACCTGCTGGCCCTTGTAGTGCAATGCCAAGTTCTGGTGCCTCTTGATGTTTGTAAATCAACTGGATGATTTTGGGGAGAGATTATTTCGACAGGCGCTTTTTTTTTTTTTTTTTTTTACTCATTTGGTGTGTGTGAGAGAGAGAAAGGGTGAGGAAGAAACGGAACCTTGGGTTAATAGCTGATTGACCATTTTCATAATCTACTTGGTCTAGCTAGTTTAACAAGCAAATCCCACCCCCCAGGTGGCAGAGGTCTGAGCCCTGCAGTGGCCTGATCATTTTCACTCTACATTTGATTGCTGATCGATCTCCATTAAAGAAGGCAAAGATCTCACATAATCAGAGTGCCTTCTTACCACTTTGGTCTCTGGGCTGTCCAAGGGACAGGGAAGTCAGTAAATATTGATCTGGGC